TTGGAACTGATAAAGTTCCTTGATGTGTAATTTCTGAAAGCCAAAAAACTCCCCAGATATTTGTTCTTTTTTCAAAACTGTACCAGGAAGATAAAGGTCCCTGCCATTGGGGGTGACAGGGAGTGGTAATGGGATCGATGCTGTTCCTGGCAAATTTGAGTTCAGAATGCCTGCAGATCTGGTAGGGGGTGGTGTCACCAAGGGTGCCACGGAGCTTTGGTTTGGTTGCTTGCTTGTTTTGAGACAGACTGTCTCACTATGTAGCCCAGGCTGGCCTCCAACTCAAGGCCTTCCTGCCTCAGCCTCCCAAGTCCTGGGGTTACAGGCATGCACCACAAGTCTACCTGTGACCGATCCAAGCCTTTCTTCCTGAATGCTGTTCCCCATGAATTGTTTATTTTTGTGTCAAATATGAGCTGCTTTTATGCTCAGCCAAATGCCAAGGTTTTTCGTCCTAATGAATGTCGTATCACAGGACCCAATTTCAGTTGAGATATTGCTGTTTGAGGAGGTGGGCGTGTGCCCGAGACCGCCTGCAAATCATGTTCAGTAGATGGGGCGTAGCAGCCTCCTTAGTCGGTCTCTGTGGAAGACTTCCTGCCACTCAGGGACGGCTGCCGTTTGTCATGCTGCTCTCCCTGCCCACCCTAAAGAATTTGCTTGTTTTCAGATGGGCGAGTCTCCTCGTTCACAGCCTTTTACGTAGTGCTGAGTCGTTTGCAGCCACCACCGTGTGTTTCCCTGGCATTAAAATAAAATAAATGGGTCTGACCCACTCACTTCGGTTGGGCTAGGGATTGGAAGCAAGCACTCGGCTCTGTTTTGTTTTCAAAGTGGAATTCCATATTGGGGCCGGAGTTCAGTGGGAAAGCATTTGTCTAGCACATGTGAGCCTCTTGGTTCTGATCCCCAGTGGTGAGGGAGGAAAGTCAGGCAGCATCCCTTAAATATTGTTGCAAGGAGCCAGGTGTGGTGGCAGACGCCTGTAATCCCAGCACTGAGGAAGCAGAGGCAGGTAGGAGGATTGGGAGCTCAGGGTCATCCTTAGCATGAGCAGGTGGAACCAGCTTGAGCCGAGACCTTGACCCAGCAACAAGTGCTGCCAGGTTGGGGTGTGACACAGAGGCCAGAATGTTTCTGTAGTGCACACGAGGCCCTGAGCACCACAAAGTAAATAGACAAGCAGATAGCGGAAGAAGGAGAGGATGAAGATGAGTTGCAGATTGTGTCCGTGCGTCTGGCATCATGCTGGGAAACAGGCAGCATGGCAGCGCCGCCTCTGCCGTGTCTGCTAGGAGAGATGGCTGCACCTGGGAGATGCCTGAGAGGAAGGGGAAGGTTTTGCACTTTGATACTATTCCGAACAAATAACTTATTTGGCAAATTGTGTCTTTTTATGTTTTGTGTTTTTATTTTTCAGTTTTGTTTGTTTTCGGTTTTTGGTTTTGTATTGTGAACAGGCACTAAAGCTAATGTTATTTTGTTTTAAGAATATTACAGATTGGAAACAAATAAACTATTTTGATGTGTGATGGCTCTGGGGCACCTCTGGAATTGCAAGATGATTCCATCATGGACACGCTGCTGCCTTTCAGGCACAGCAGGCTTGGGAGGTGGCTTGGAAAAAAAATTAAGGGTGGAAGGCTCATCAGTTGAGAGTGCTTACATTGCAGAGGACTTGGGTTCGGTTCCCAGCACCCACTAGTGGCTCACAGCTGCCTGTAACTCCAGTTCCAAAGGATTCTACACCTTCTTCTGAACTCCACAGGCTCCTGCACACATGTGGTACACGTACACACGCTCAGGCACACTCAAAGTTAAATAAATGTTTTAATGTTAAAACGGAAAGAAACACAGGCTGTTTGGGTTGACCTTCTGAATTGTCCTCATTTGCAGCCAGTGGCGACACATCACAGAAACGTCCTTTAGTCCGTGCACTGCTTGCTCGCAAAGCTTGAGGCTTTGCCATGACACAGTCTGTTTTGTCTTGAACACAGACTCAGACAGTTGTCACTTTGGGGAGAGCACACAGCATCTCAAACAGTAGGTTAGCTGCTAGGAGGGCCGTGTTTCCTAGGAAGGAGGAAAAAAATGCTCTGAAGACTGCACACCTCCCTGAAGCCCAGTCTCCAGGACCCTAGCCTGCTTCTGAGCCATGGCTTCTGAGCGCTGGGTGCTGGGTGCCTGTGAACAGGCCTTTGCCCCCGTCAAGTATCATTTGGAGACAATGAGAATTCTGAGGGATGGCTATACTGGTGCAGGTGCTGCTCATAGCCCACCCTCAGGCCAGCAGATCTGACTGGAAGGATTGCTTGTTTCTTTGTTTTTGTTTCAGTTAGAATTAGAGGGATGACATCTGCTTTGCCCAGGTGTCAGCTGTGGCAACTCTACTTCCTGTAAAACATGCTTTGCAAATTCACTTCTCAGTGAAATATCAAAGAGAGATGTGACCGAGCCACCCTGTCACTAAACAGCAGGCTGTTGGCTTCCTCTCCACTAATAACACCTGGCACTTCCCAGGGGTTTTGTTTGGTTCATTAGCTCACACTTCTCACATTTGTGGTAACTGGCTTCCCTCTTGCCTCTGGACATTGATTCTCCTCAGGGTCCCTGAAGTAAACCTGGAGACCTAACTCACCAGGTGAATCTGATTTAGACCAACAGCTGCCTGTAGATATGCTTGTCTCGGCACTCACCTGAGAGGTCATACGGTGGGGAGACTTCCACAAGATCGCAGCCCACCACGTTCAGGCCTTGACAGCCCCTGATGATTTCCAGGGCCTGTCCACAGTGGAAGTGACAGTCATTGCCAACGCAGAGCAACCGACAGCGGCATAGATAGATAACCCTCCCCTGCCCGAGACATGTGCTCTCAACAGCCACGCTGGCTGGTGGGCCTCCCGGGGACACAGCTCGCATCACACAGTCCCTCCCAAGGGCCTCCTGGTGTGATGGTGCTGGAGTCAAACAAGCTAGGCAATGTCACGTTTCCAAACCCTTGAGACAAGCAGCCTACAGGACACAGTCTGAGTGGGGGAAGGCTTCCCGTGGTACAGACGCTTCAAGGGACTGGCAGAAGAGATGACTAAGCATTCTGGGCAGAGACACAGGAAAGGCACAGGCACAAGAAAGGCACAAGTAGATGGATATGGCCCAGGGTGGCATTAGGAGCAGTCACAAAGGCAGTTGCCTTGTCTAAAGTTTCCATCCTGAGCGTGAAAAGCTCCAGAAAAGCTTCTAACGGGACAGGGAATGGCCGTGGGCGACGTTGTCGTGAGCATCCTCCTTTCTTAGAAGATGCAGATGCGTGCAATTCACTTACACCTTGGACGACCTGCTGCTCATACCCTGGGCTCCAAGGAAAGGTCCTGTTCCCTCCCTGTCAGTCTCAGCCTAGCTCATCAGGCTTGACTCCAACATGCTCCAGCCACCCGGAGCCGGTCTCCACGTGCACACTTGATTAACTTAGCCCTAAGCAGCTCGGTGCATTGTGTTTTGTCTTGGCGCTTGGAATAGCATGTAAAGCTTTGTTCACGCTAAGCCTACATGCCGCTACCGAGCTACACCACCAGCCCCAAAGTTCAGTGTTCTTAAGAGGGGACATTACAAAATGCTCCCCATGAATTGACTATAGACAAACCAGAGGCAGAATAATAGAGGATTCTCAGAGCTCTCAGGAAGGTTCCATAGCTCAGGGGTAGAGCACTTGCTTAGCATGTGTGAGGCCTAGGTTTAGTCCCTAGCTACAAAACAAGGAATTCGAAAGACACAGACAAGCAGTCTGTCCACTGCAGCCAGCCCTGAGAACATCCTCTGGCCTGCCAACCTCATGACACTGTAAAATGAGGTTATGGTCCACAGATTTCACGCTCAAGAACAACACAGTCCAGTTTTGGTTTTTTAATCTCTTAATGTTTTAAGTAAATTTACAATTTTGTGTTGGGCACTATCCACAGCTATCCTCAGCCAAATTGGGCATGCAGCCCCTAGGCCATAGGTTGTACGCATCCAGGTGCTGTGTCTTTAAAATCCTACCCTAGTGGTGTGAGCCCTTAGTGAGAAGTCAAGTTAGAGGCCTACCTGGGCTATATAATTCAAGGCAAGACTGAACCCCACAGTCTTGGGTGAGCTAGCCGAGGCAGTGCTGGAGAGGTCACCCAGGTGGTGAGGATGCAGGAGAGCAGGCAGGCTGACCAACTCAGCTACCACCCAGGTTCCAACCCAGGGCTGTGAGTTGGCCCACCCCAACATCCATCCTATCTATAAACTGCAGGAGCACGTGAAGGGGCTGGTCCTGCAGATCCGAAGCTGCAGGACCTCTGCAGGACAGGGCAGCAATGAGATTGTCCAAGAGGAGTACCAGTGAGGGTCCAGTATTGACAGTGTAGCAGGAGCTGGAGGGCTTGACCCAGACCAGTGATTCATCGCAGTGAACATTTGCAAGTTAAGATATGTGGGCTAAAGGATGTGCTGTGTGACTCACTGGGACACAGTGCAGCTTCCATGAGATTTGTGGTGGTAGGAAGGGGCTGTAAGGGCAGAGGGCAGCTGTGATGACAGGGAGATGAGAGGAGTGGGGTTGGGGTACATGGTGTGAAACTGACAAAGAATTACTAAAAAGTTAAAAATAAAACATACTCTCTAGGGTTGGGAGGGAGGCTCAAGTGGCTAAGCGGAGAATCCAAGTTTGGTTCCCAACACCAACATTAGGTGGCTTACAACTACCTGTAAATCCAGCTCAAGGAGGATCTAGTGTTCTTTCTGACCTCTGGGAACCTGCACACACACACACACACACACACACAGAGAGAGAGAGAGAGAGAGAGAGAGAGAGAGAGAGAGAGAGAGAGAGAGAGAGAGAGAGGCATGGACAAGGGGGCAGGCATATACATAAAAAGAATACCCACTGACCAAACCCACTTACCTGACTAGGGGTGAGCCCAGCAATTTCCGGTGTGCCTGTTCCTGGGGCATAGGCAGGATCCAAGGCATCTATGCCAAAGCTGATATAAAGAGGCTTGTCTGCCATCTGTTGCCTGATCTCCGCCATCAGGGGAACCAATGACTTCATCCAGCAGTCTTCAGCCAGAACCACACGGAAGCCCTGAGGAGGGGAGAGCCAAAGAGCTGGATATCATAGCTGACCTCATGCTCAGCTTTTCACATGCATATATCACATCTGACCTTAATTTCTAGGAGGGGAATTCTACTGATGAAGTTAGGGAGCAAGGTCAGAGCTGTCAGGATCAGAAAAGAGCTTCGCTAAGACCAAGCCTGAGACACTTGTCACTAAAGACTCTAGGGCAGTGGTTTTCGACCTTCCTGTGACCCTTTAATACAGTTCCTCATGTTGTGGTGACCCTCAATCATAACTTTTTTCATTGCTAGTTCATAACTGTAATTTTGATACTGTTATGAATTGTAATGTAAATATCTGATATGTGACCCCTGTGAAAAGGTTGTTTGAAAGGAGTCACTATCCACAGATTGAGAATCACTGTTCTAGATGCTTATGTCCAGAACCTTAGTCTTGACATACCCTAAAATCAAGGGATAAGACAGTTGAGACAGCTCAGCTCGGGTTAAAACCCTTGCTACCAAGCCTAATGACCTGAACTCAATCCCCAGGACCCACACAGCGGAAGGGAACCAACTCCACCACTTGTCCTCTGGCCTCTGCTCTCCTGCCTTGGCACTCATGCGCGCACATATACAATTAAATAAATGAAATTAAGAGTAATGTAAAATACCTGGGCACGGTGACACATGCCTTTAACATTTGGGAGGCAGAAGCAGGTGGATCTCTGTGCATTCAAGGCCAGCCTGGTTTACAAAGTGAGTCCCAGGACAGCCAAGGCTACACAGAGAAACCCTGTCTTGAAAAAAAAAAAAAAAAAAGAAGGACTAGATGCTGTAATACACACCTTTAATCCCAGTGCTCAGAAGTAGAGGCAGGCTGATTTCTGTAAGTTCAAAGGTAGCCTGGTCTACAAAGCAAGTTTCAAGACAACCAGGGCTACATCATGAGATCCTGTCTCAAAATAAAAGAAAGGGACTGGGGTGTTTGTGTGGGAGCCTTGCACTGTGTTCAGACCAGAGCCTTCTGTCTTCTGGATGTTAGAATAAACATTAAGAAGGGGTGTCTTGCCTAGACTCAGGTTCACAACCCCATGTCTTCTAAGCCAGCAGCCTCCAGGGGTTTAACTTCCTACTTCATTCTGCTGGGCAGCAGCAGGCCACTTCTGCCTCATCAATGTCTCTCTGAGCCAGGCACAGTGGTTCACACCTCCAATAGCTCAGGAGGCTGAGGCAGGAGGATCACCGTGAGTTGCAGGCCAGCCTAAGCTACAGAATAAGACCCTGTATCAAAACAAAAGCAGAAATTAAGTCTCAGGACTCTTGCCACATGACTCGATGCCAGCTCGGCCTTTTGTCTCTCCTGGTGCACGTGTGGAGGTTGGAGGTCGGAGGTCAGAGCACGCGCTTCCAGCGTCGCTTCTCTCCTTCCACCATCTGGGTCCCAGGGATTCAAACTCAGGCCATCAGACTTAGGGGCAATCACCTTTACCTGATGGAGCCCTCGTGCCAGCCCGTATTTGTTTCTTTCCTCAGAGGAGGTCTCACGCAGCCCGGGCTTGCCGTGAACTCAATGGGAAGCTGAGGATGATGTTGGATTCTCGTTCCTTGAAGATTGGGATCACGGGCCTGTGCTGCCACATCTAGCCCCAGCCCCACTTTCTGAACTCTGGTCAAGCCGCTGTGGAATCCCTCTTTTGACAATGGAGAAGACGCTTTGGGGGAAGAAAGAATACCCAGTCCATCACCTGGCTCCGACTGTACCGGTAGGGGTCCAAGGTCACGGAAGAGCCCCGGATGCCGATCTGCACCACCCGCTTACAGTCCAGCAGTCCCTCGTCCACGCTTCGGCGGAAAGCTGTCCGATGATGGACCTTCTCCCCCAGAGTTTTGTCAGCTGTGTTGGTGTGGGCACCCACGTGCACTAGACCCACAGGGCCATGCCTGATGGCAAAACAGCAGCTCAGAGGTCAAGGGCCCTGGCATCAGTTACCTGCCTTGCATCTCTTTTCTGGGTTCAGCTCATTTAGCGGAAACCAGGTGGAAGCCGATATGACTGGCCTGCCACCCAGAATTTCAGAGAGAAGGACAATGGCACAGGATGGAACTTAGCGAAGGCTGAACCAGAGCCACCTTCTCTCTGGCTAAGGCCCCAACAGGATGTTCAAAGCCTGCTCCTCTCCATCAGCTCTCCCAGACACCCCAAATGAATACAGTTCACACAAGTGGGATGCTAGGGCAGCTTGAGAGGAGACTGACCCCACCCACCTCCAGTCAGGTTGCTACCCACATGCCTTCCCACCCAAGTGAGAATGCTGCCCACGTGCCTTCCCACCCTACCCCAGTCAGGATGCTACCATGTGCCTTCCCACCCTGCTCAGGATGCTACCCACATGCCTTCCTGTTGGGACAATCTTTTGCACACTGTGTGAAGATGTGTCTCTTTCTGTTCTTCCTCGCCTGCCTAAGGCACCTTCTGATTGGTTTAATAAAGAGCTGAATGGCCAATATTTAGGCAGGAGAGGCTAGGCGGGACTTCCAGGAAGGGATAGGAACTCTAGTAAAGAATCTGAGGCTGGAGATTCACCAGTCAGATGTGGAGGAAGTACATACGGAACTGAGGAGAGGTAATGAGCCACGTGGAAGAATGTAGATGAATATAAACAGGTTAATTTAAGTTTTTAAGAGCTAGTTTGATACAAGCCTAAGCTAAGGTCAAGCTTTCATACTTAATAAGAAATCTCCAGGAGCTGGTGATACAGTTACACCTTCCCACCCCGGTCAGGATGCTACCCTACTTACCTTCCCCCAAACAAATTCTGAAGCTCCCACCCACCACTTCTGCCCTTCTCGCTTCTTCCAACTGAATCAGTCAAAGCTAACCGATATGCACAGACTTGCATCTACTGAAAAATGTAGTTTTTGTTGTCCAAGCAAGGAGGGGAGGCATATGGGGGGGCGTGGGGAACAGGACCCCCTGTCAATATTTGTATTTGGATAGCAAGGCAAAACAAACAGAAGGTAGCTGGGGTTGTCTATCTCACTAGAGATTTATTTTCCAAATCAGGGGCCAACTGAGACTGCAGAGTGTGTGTACCACAGCAGATCTAGGTCAAGTGAAAGGGCTCCAAACTGATGACTGACAGACACAGCTGGAGTCCAGCCTTAGTCCATAGAAACAACCCAGTGGGGAATTTCCAGTCACCCCTGCATCTGAGCCCCAAGCGGTCACATGATGCCACCTAATAGCCACTGAATCTTAACTCCCAAATGTTGAAACCCTGGGACTTACTTTTTTGCCACTGCTTGCAGTATGGGATAAGTGATTGTGTGGTCTCCACCTGCAGAGAGAAAGGAGGCCACATCTACACATGCCACAGTCCCCAAGTCACCCGACACTGCCACCCTTTCAGGTATGCTGTAGAACTGCATCCACAGCTAAATGGCCATGGGTGTCATTTTCAAAGGAAAACGCCTCCCCCTGCCGTTTAAAGGCAGAGGCTGGAGCTGGAGGGAGGACTCCGTGGCTGAGAGCATGGAGGGAAGACTCCGTGGCTGAGAGCACGTGGTGCTCATCACTCAGGCAGCTTACAGACCTAGAACGGCAGCCCCAGGGTACCCCAGCTCTGGCCCTCGCTGACACCTGCACTCCCTGGCACACACCCACACCCAAACACATAACGGATTGCATAAATCAAAGCTTATAAGTTGTTCAGCAAGACAACTCTGACCCACAGACCTCCCTGTGACGGTGTGAATGGCCTACGCCTGTACTGTCCGAGATGGTAGCTGAGGAGTTGAAGATCCTGTTTCTATTTGCGTGCGTGTGTGTGTGTGTGTGTGTGTGTTATGTATGACGGATGACCTGTGTATGGGGATCAGAGAACAACTTGGAAGAGTCAGTTCCCTCCTACAGTAATGGTCCAGGGGTCAAGCTGAGGTCATCAGGCTTACATGGTGAGAACTTTCACCCCCTGAGCCATCTCTGCGGCTGAAATATTTTAATTTTTAATGAAGATTTGTTTATTTTTATGTATCTGTTTTGCTTGTGCATCTGTGTCTCTGCATTGTGTTTATGCCTTGTGCCCTCAGAAGTCAGAAGAGGGTGTCAGGTCCTCTGGGACTGGAATCACAGACAGTTGTGAGCTGCCTTGTGGGTGCTGGGACTTGAATCCAAGTCCTCTGCAAGAACAGCCAGTGCTCTCGAGCCCTCTGTCCAGCCCCTAGTACTTACTCATTCATTTTCACACAGGGGATTGAACTCAGGGCCCCACGCGTGCTAGGCAAGTGCTCTGCCACATTAATCTCATCTTTTTTTAAGAAATAATTTTGAGGGCCGGCTGACATGGGTACGGGGAACTGAACTCAGGTCCTCTGGAAGAGCATTAGCTTTCAACCACGGAGCCGTCTCTGCAGACTCAGACAGAAACGGTTCTGGTTGTCTTCATCTCCCAGTCTCTCTGCAACCTGCCTTTCCAGCACATTCTCCTCCTCCTCTTTTTGTGTCTTTTTTTTTTTTTTTAATCTTACCACATTTAGTGTCAGGTCCAAAGGAAACTCCACTTCCCCAACTTCTGGGGGTTAGACAAAAGCTAGCCTTCCTCAAGAACTTGTGAAACTGGTTCCCCTCTACCAAAAGGAGCCATTTTCCTTATCACTGGCAGAAGGGACACGTGGCTATCGGTGGCGCCTATTCGCGCACCAAGCACGTGCTGGTCTCCAGACTCCCTCAGTAGCACACACACCTGTTACACATTTCAGCCTCCGTGCTGGCAAACCGGCTCTTCTCACCTGATCCCCATCCCAGGCTTCTCCCGCTCATTAGCCATTAGCTTCCCTCCACCCAGCTCCTTGTTCTCCTCATAGCCCTGCTGTTTCTTTGGCTCTGGTCCCTCTCTCTTGCTTGCTCTCTTTGTTTTCCTCTCTGAATCTCTCTCTCTGTCTCTCTCCGTCTCTCTCTCTCTCTCTTCTGTTTCCCTCCTCTCCCCTTTTCTCTGCAGGCCACATTTTATCTCTGCTCTGGACTCCTCCCAATGCCTCTGGCTGTCCTCTCTTCTCTACAATAAAAACCCTTTCCCTTAATCATTCGTGTAGCAGCCATGGCATCAGTTTCTATATTTAGCGTTGCTTGTACGTACTTAGGTACGGAAGAATGGTGTTCTTCGCTGGTGCTGTCTTATTTGTTTATTTATTTTGAATCTTGTGACTGTGTCTCCTAAACTGCCCAGGCTAGATTTGAACTCATTCTGCAGTCCTGGCTTTGAACCTGTGGTTCTCCCCGTCTTAGTCTCAGGAGTAGCTAAGATTGCAGACTATCCTATCGAGCAGTTCAGGCCTCCGGCAAGGATTAATATTGATAGCTATTGATAATAACAATAGCAGAGTTTTGTGGAAGCTTCGAATAGTAGAAGCCCAGTAACGAGCTGGCTAACTGCATAGCCCACCCACAGTGCAGTGAGATCGGCGCGTTGTCGCGCTCCCTGTTGACAGATGAAGCCAAGCACCTAGCAGCACAGTCCATGAAGCAGCTGCAAGCTGGGCTGAGATGTCCAACACCAGCATCCCTACTGCTGCCAAATCCGGTAACTAGGCCGTCCGAATTGGCAAAAATAAATGGGGACCAAAAAATTAAAAAAAAAAAAAAGACCACTCACGTTGTTTCAATTCGTGAACCAAAGAAGTAGAGTCGCGCAGTGGACCACTGCCGACTGAAGCAAACCCCGAGCCGCCCAGATACATCCTCTGGAGGGCAGGCAAGATGGCTCAGCGCGTAAAGGCGCCTGCTGCCAAGCCTGATGTTTGTGTTTGATCCCCAGGACCCACACGGTGAAAGGAGAACACAGACTCCCCAAAGTTGGATTTTCACTTGTATGTGCAAACTGTGACCGTGTGGGTACACGGACACACACTAAATAAATGTAAGAAGAAAAACCTGTAACGCCAACACCAATTCTCCTAGTCAAACTGGGGCTGGAAGCGAAAGCAGGGGATAGGTCACTTACCCTACGTTATCGATCTGGACTGTTGGTTGTTTTTTCAAATGCCCCACCGGCCTTGTCCTAGCTAACCACTCCTTTTTTTTTCCCCAGAGACAGGGTCTTACTCTGTTAGCTTTCGTGCCAGTTCTCCCAAAATATCAAATATCCTCTCCCCTAGGATTAAAACGAGTGAATTTGAATGCTCACTTTCCTTCTTTGTCCGTCTTCATAGTAGCTTCCCTTGGAGAACAGCTGCTCACGGACCTATATTGGATAACCTCCCTCCCCAGACTACCGTGAAAAGCTACAGCTCCCTTGCTAGCAGCCATTACCCAAGGTCAGAGGAATGCAGCCAGCTGCTAGGACGTTCTGATAGACCTCTCGAATTAGCCGGCAGCTGTCCTGGAGGTTGTAAAGATTGACATTCACGTTGCCTAGGTCTGCAACCCTGAGGGACTGGAAAGGGAGGGCTCCCGTGCTGGGGTTGACAGCCCCCAGCATCACCGATTCCTCTCGGATGCGACGGGGTCCAAACCTAGAGAAGACGAATCATCGACACGTCAGCTGCTGCAGAGCTCTGACCGCTGCTCGCTATAACTAAAAGGTGCTTCTCTGTCTCCTGACTTTTGGGACAGGAGACACTGTGCTGTGGGATAGAGTCTGTCACCACTGGCAACCAGGAGCACCTCTTCCCTGAACCTGCACCAAGTAAAAGTATGTCTGGATGTTAGCAGACATCACTGGGTATAAAACAGACCCCACTGAGAGCCATTAATCTATGTATGTTTGGAGGGTTTTTTTTTTCCCCCGTTGTTTGATTTGACAGGGTCTTGCTATGTTACCCAAGCTGGCACGAAACTCATTGTAGCCCAAGATTGCCTCAAATTCTCAATCCTCCTGCCTCAGTCTCCTGAGTGCTGTGATTACAAGTATGTGTGTATGTATGTCTACCATGGCAGACGAACAGAATTTCTGATCATATTCAGTTTATCAGTTTTGCCCTGATGTAACACAGTATTTGAGACTGATTTAGCTGTTTGTTGGTTTTAGTACAAAGATGGCTCAGTCAGGAAAGCACTTACCATGTAAGTGGAAGGACCCAGGTCTGATTCCCAGACCTGGAATGTATGCCTGCAAGGTGTGGTGGCAACCACTTGAAAACCCAGCACTGGGGATCAGGACAGGAGGGTCAGAAGGGGGCTCCCTGGCTACCAGTCTAGCTTGGCCACCAGTCTAAGCCCACTCAGTGAGCTCAGGGTCAGTGAGAGACCCTGTCTTGAACAAGGTGGACTGTGAGACTCAGTGGGCTGTCCTCCAGCCCCTACCCACACGCATGCGCATGAGCACATACATGAACTAACTTATTTAAGGAGCTGTAGAGATGGCTCACGAGTCAGGAGCCCTGGCCGCCCTTGCAGAAGACCTGGGGTTGGTTTCTGGCATCCACATGGCAGCTCACAACTGTCCGTAACTCCAGTTCTTGGGGGACCCAACCCTGTCCCCTTCTGGCTATTTAGCACCAGGCAGAGATGTGGTGCATACACATTCCTGCAGGCATGAACATGTGTGCACATCAAATAAAAATAAGTATTTATAAAAGTTAAGGGCCAGCATGTGATGCACATTCCACTTTGTTTTTTGCCTGTTTTGTCTTTTCATTGCTGGGGATCAATCCAGGGACCTCAAAAGCTGAGTGAGAGCTTTGTTACTCCACCACACCCCTTCATCCCTAGACTCAAGAGCCCACCCACCACCAATTTATTATACAGCATTAGACAATTAACCTGAGTTTCTGTTTCCTGATCTTTAAAATAATGATGCTGTTATTTATTCCACGGCATGGTTGTAAGAATTAGACACAGTCAACTTTGCAAAGTGTCCTGGGTTCGTTGACATTTAATAAATGACAGCTATTAAAATTCAGATGGATACAGTCAGATGTTCTGAGCTGAAGCAAAAACTGTTGATGTTTGTTAATTAAGAAAACATTCTTTGTGTCTCTTTGACTTTGATAGCTAGTGGTTTTGGGAAGAGACAACCAATTCCATTCTCAAATCAATGGTCCTTGGGATGGAATTAGGGTATGCACACCTACCATACCAGCAAGGCTGGGGTTCTAGAAACTCCTGGCTTGCTAAATTGCTCCAACTGGTCTTTCTGAGCTGCCTCACTTCTTGGGATTACAGGAGTACACAGAAGCCTCTCTTGACCACTGATGACCCCGGGATATCAGAACTGACCTTCCAATCCTGTGTTAAGCCCTTGGCATTGCTTACGGAAGGAGGGAGTCGCCCTCCCTGACTTCAAAATGCCTGGGTGAAAAAAATGTAAGCCCACGTGCCTTCTACACTCCTGCCTACTAAGCCCAACCTCATTTCCCAGGGCCCGTGCGCACCTGCCTTACCTTGCCCCGGGCCGGTTGGAAGTCCCTATGTCCAGAGGCACACCGATGAAGGCAGCATCCAGCCCGTCAGGAGACGACCGCAAGGGTAGGTGCATCATAGAGCAGATGCCCACCAGCTGCACCAGTGACTCGGCGCTGGGGGACTGGTGATGTGGAGCATCTGAGACATCTGAAGCCTGGCGGATCCTGGCGTGCCCAGGAGAGAGGAGCCCCACAGAGGGACGCCACGTGACCACCCCAGACCCCAGGACCCGGGCACAACTGGAGGTGAGCAGTCGCAGCATGCCGCCTATCGAGGAGCCCAATCCGGCCAGTGTGCCAGCCCCCAGTTGCAGGGCTCAAAGGTCAGGGAAGCTCTGGGATCAATGGGGCAGGGAGGGCCCCAGAGCCCAAGCGTTTCTCCACCTGCCCCACTCCGAACTTCAGCCCCTGTATGGATTGGTCTATGAGCCAGGCTGGGGCTCCCCATTCATGCCCACCTGCCCCATCCCAGGTTTGTCGTGCAGGGAGCTACCACACACACACACACACACACAACTGGCCTTTGACTGTCTCTCCTATTCAGAGAAATTTTTTTTTTTGCTTTGTTTGTTGTTATTGTGTTGTTTGTTAACAAATGGTCTCACTCTGCAGCCCAGGCTAGTCAGGAACAGGTGTATCTAAGTTGTATCTTAGCACTAAAGAGTGCTAAGATAAAAATGCTTAACCAAAGTAACATTGTGTTGTTATTGTTTGTTGGTTTTTATTATAATTTATTTATTTATTTTACAAACCAATCCCAGGACCCCCTTCCTCCTCTCCTCCCTCTCCCCCTACCTTTCTCCCACCCCACCTCCCCATGCGCTCCTCAGAGAGGGTAAGGCCTCCCCTGGGAAATCAACTAAGTCGGTCCTATTATCTCACTGAGGCAGGACCAAGCCCCCCCCCACACACACCTAAGCTGCAAGTTATCTCTCTGTAAACGGAGACTGCTCGTTCAGTTCCAGGTTGCCCAGACCCAAATAATCACAGGGACTAATGGGAGCTCACTGACTCCTAACTGACAACCGGGGAACCTGCATAGGACTGAACTAGGCCTTGTGAAGGGAGGTGAATGTCTGGGCTTGGGCAGTGTGTGGCAGTAGGACTGGGATCTAACTCCAGTGCATGAACTGACTTTGTGGAGTCCATTCTCTATGGAGAGATGATGTGGGACGTCCTTCTGTTTATGTGTTGCTTTTATTGGCTAACGAATAAAGCTGTTTTTGGTCGATGGCTTAGCAGAACAAAGCCAGGTGGGAAAACCGAACAGAGATAGAGAGAGTAGGCAGAGTCAAAGGGATGCCATGTAGCTGCCAAAGGAGAAAGATGCTCAGAACTTTACCTGGGAAGCCACAACCTGGCGTCTATACACATATTAGAAGAAATGGGTTAATTTAAGATATAAGAGCTAGCTAGGAATATGCTTGAGTCATCGGACAAACAGCGTTGTAATCAATATAGTTTCTGTGTGATTATGTGGGTCTGAGTGGCCGGGAAAGCAACGTGCAGTCTTCACCTACACCTCGAACTCACAGAGATCCCCCTACCTCTGCCTTCTGAGTGCTAGGATTAAAGGCGTGCGTCACCACCGCTCTGTCCTATAACTTTTTTTTAACACGAAGTTTATTTAAATAACAAGATGCTTGACTTGAAGGGAAAACTACCTAGGATCATTTTGTTCAAGAGTGATTTATCCCTACTGAAAGACAGATTGCCCTGCATGTAACAGCTATGTACAAAAAAGTTATAAAATTGTCCTTGGTTTTACAATGGTAAATGAAAAACATTAAAATTCTCCAATCGAACAAGGTGTGCAAGGATTTTGTGGTTTTGTTCTTTTGTTAAAACATTGAGAGCAGGGCTGGAGAGATGGCTCAGAGGTTAAGAGCATTGCCTGCTCTTCCAAAGGTCCTGAGTTCAATTCCCAGCAACCACATGGTGGCTCACAACCATCTGTAATGGGGTCTGGTGCCCTCTTCTGGTCTTCAGGCATACACACAGACAGAATATTGAATACATAATAAACAAATAAATAAATAAATAAATACATTGAGAGCAAAATAACTTCCTGGAATATAAAGACAAGAGCTGAACAAGCATGCCACTAATGGAGAAGGGGGTATTTTCACAGAACCGTACTTTCCCCCACCACCTCCATCTGATGCCAATCAAAACAGAACATTGGCCATTTAGTTTAAAAAAGAAAAAAGCGCAATATGCCTGTGCACATACACCAGTTACTTTATGTACAATAAAGAAATGGGGACAGGGAAATGAAAGAATAGGGAAAACTATTCTGTAGTAGTCAGGATGTGGTGGGACCAAATTGCGGCTTTCTAATTGCGAACGTATTCTTGGTCTATAACAAAATTCTGGAGTAAAGTAGCAGGTTCCCTTTTAGTAGACACCTCCTGTCCGCTGCTGGAACACATCAATTGTATCTTCATCCTCCATTTCCAACTGTGCAGGTGTCTATTTCATTGACTGCTTGCCCATCAAACCAGAATCTGATCTGCCTCACTGACAAACCCTGTCGTTCACGATAGGCTTTCATTAGTTTACTAAGTGGTGTATGCCTCTTCATCTTAAACTGCACCACACAGCCATCCTTCCCTGCCACCTTCAAATTAATATGATCGTTGTTCTCGGTCTTGACTCCTTCCTTGGGTTTCCCGTCGGCCATGGCGAGCGCCGGAGTCTCCTCAGCTTCCGCTTCACAAAAGAGACCCCAGGTCTGCACTGAAGGAGCACACGGGCAGCACCAGGAGCGGCAGAAGGAGGCTGCAGCTGCTGGTGAGGCGGTGCGCCCCCCTATCTGCGCTGCCCCCATAACTTTTTTAAGGCTAGCAGGGGCAGAACATTTGCATTATATCTGCAAACACCTTCAGTTTTCTTCAGTAAAGAAAATAATATAAAATAAAAATGCATTACAGTATACATGATGATATTAGGATGATGATACTGGTATTTAATCCAAGAACTCAGGAGGCAGAGGCAGGAGGGTCTCTGAGTTTGAAGTCAGTCTGATTTACATGGGGAATACTGGGCTAGCAAGAGCCACATAGTGACATCGACATCCTGTTAAAGCAATCAAACAAAAAAAATCCCACACAGCTTTTAAATGCATTACAAAGAATTTAGTAATGCATTTAGATGTAAAGGCACAGCACCAGTAATCCTGCTAACTGTTGTCCTCCCCTCAGCTCTAAAAGAGACCAGCAAGATGAGCCAGTTGGTAAAGGCATCAGCTGACAAGCCTAATGAATTGAGTTTGATTCCTGCCACCCAGAACAGAGCTGACTCCTGAAAGCTGTCCTCTGACCTCCGCAGGAACGTTGTGGCGCACATGCACGTGCATACAAAAATAAATGTTAAAAATCAAAAAGCCACAAGCAGAGATGCAACATGTGAGCCGCTTGGTGGTTTTTGGTGCTTTCTCCTGTGATTGAGATTGAATGAGAAAGAAGTGTGACTTGGCACACAGTCTCCCTGCAAAGGCCACACATGACACTACACAACACTCCAGGATGCACCCCGGGGCACAGGGTAAAGTTCTCTGAGGTCAGTAATGAAGTTTGATATTAGAAGAGGCTTCAAGGCCTGCCTGGCTACTTTCCAGAACAAATGCAACAGTCTGTTCCTCTTAACACCCAATTTCTAACACGATTTCTTTTTTTTTTTTTTAAATAACTTTATGTGCATTGGTGTAAAGGTGTCAGATCCCCTGAAACTGGGGTTACAGACAGTTGTGAGCTGCCATGTTGGTACTGGGAATTGAACTCAGGTCCTCTGGAAGAGCAGCCAGTGCTCTTGACCACCGAGCCATCTCTCCAGTCCCCTCTAACAAGATTTCTTCTCACCGCTTGTCCTTGAACACGTCATGTTCTCATGACTGGTTTTCTTTACCAGCTTGTAAATGTTTAATGGGTGCCCACTATGCATCAGGCACTGGGTACCCATGCCTGGGGAACACTCCCTCCTTGTGCTTGAAAGGGCCCTCCGAATGAATGCTCTGAGTTTCTCTGCCTCGCTGCTCCCGCCAAGATGATCCCTTCTCAGGGGTGATGCTTTTCTTCTGCAGATGGACAATTCCTTATGAGGAAGTCTCTCCAATCTGATGCCCTGCCCTGTCACCTCCACAAGGAGGCACCAGCTTAGTAGGATATCACCTCCGAGGCCAAGTGAAAGTGGAAAGTGGACAGAGGCCCATGTGGGAGAGTCCCGGTCCGGGCCAGGACCCTGGCGCAACTGTTAAGAGTGCTGACTGCTCTTGTAGAGGACCCCGAGTTTGGTTCCCAGCCCCAGGTCAGTGGCTCCCAGCTGTAACTCCAGCTCCAGGCAATCAGATGCCTCTTCTGCCTCCTCAGACACCGCCCCATACACATAATAAAAATAAAGGGACTAGAGATGACTCAGTTAAAGCACTTGTTGCTCTACCAGTGCACCCGGGCTCAGTCCTCAGCACCCACATGGTGGTGCACAACCATCTGTAACTCTATCTCCAGGTATCTGACACCCTCTTTGGGCCTCCACTAGAACTAAGAATGTACGAAGGGCACATGCAGGCAGGCAAGCAAAACCTTCATATGCATAAAAATAAATTACAAATAAACTTAAACCAGGCGGTGGTGGCACACGCCTTTAATCCCGGCACTTGGGAGGCAGAGGCAGGCAGATCTTTGTGAGTTCAAGGCCAACCTGGCCTACGGAGCAAATTCCAGAACAGGCTCCAAAGCTACACAGAGAATCAAAAATAAACAAAAAATTTGAAAAAGAAGTCCACTTCAAGGTGCTTATCAACATTTAAAATAAACAAAAATAACTCTTCCCCCCCCCAAAAAAATAGATGAGAATGTGTAGCCAGAAAGCAGCTGGTGGGGGTAACAGGCACCCATACTGGCCAGAGGTTCTGGTCAGATCAGCTCTGGCAGTTGATCCTAGTCTGTGTTCCCCCATGTCTGTTCATATCCAACTGCAGAGACATTTTGGGCAGAGTTCAAGCTAATTGTGGATGAATGCCTCAGTAGCACAAGGGCAGGGTAATATAGCACATATTTAATGTCTGAGACACACAGACATTGGCCAGGGCCAGTGCCATCAGCATATACCAAGTGGTCATCAGCCTGGAAGAAAAATATGTTTAAATCAGAGTTTCAAAATAAAGAATATAAAGTTTTCTTTGAATCTATGGCTCTCTCCCACCACCGTCCCCAAGTTTGCTTTGGTGGACTGTTAAATAGAAGAAACTGAACCTTTCCCACCCTCCGCTGCTGGGATGGCACATGTCACTCTTCCAGCGAACCATACATGGAGCCT